CTTACCATATAAATAAGATATTTTGTAAGGTCAATATATGTTTAAGGTATAATATTACAGACACAAGCATGTGTATAAGTCAAACATACACATAACTACACTCACTCTGCTTTCAGAACACAACAACCATGGAATCTGGGAGAGCAATATGAGAAGACTGACAGAATGCCAAAAGTGCAGACATTCAGTTGTTATAGGGAGTGTTTATTGTCCTGGAACAGGAGCCAATATTGTGCATTGAAAAATCATTGATTAAAATGTCTGAACACTGTTGGGAAGCAGGACCAGAAACTAAAACTTCCCAGCTGTTCTAGCTCATGTTCCCTAGCTGCTCAGTTGTCCGGCATTACTCTGCTGCACTAGTTCAGTGGGCCTCTGCAAAGCTCCATAAAGCTGGCACAGGAAGGATAATCCTGGTCCCAAATGAGACAGCACTAATTGGTCACAGCCTGACTTGAAAAGAGAGATTGGTTTGAGTTTAGGAGGGCACAGAACACAGACTGTTTTAGGTTCTGGGTTCTCCATCCATGTCACTCTAATGCTGGGTGATCACTGCTACCCTGCTTCTGCCCTCACTGTAAGTTCTGTACTCTGTATTGATTTCAGATCTTTCCTGTACTGGATACAGCCTTAACCACACTTCCCTGATTCACCCTTCCACAGATCTTAGGTGACATATTACCCACCACCTGGACCCCAAACAAATTAGGCATAAACCAAGTAGTATTTTTTTACTGCAGTGATCAGATGCCTGTTGCCAATGCCTACGGACACAGAGTACATCCACTGGCAGACTTGGATGACTACATCTACAGGGTTTTGTGGCTTGTGCTATTGAAGGTAAAATTTATGTTTTATTTAAACCACAATTCAGGTGCCTAAATGCTTTTTTGAATATGGTCCAAAGAAACTTGTCCAAAAATTTTCTTACTCTGCGTGAGTTTTGTAGTAATAAATCTCCATGAAAAAAACCCCAAAACCAAAAAACCAACAATTACCAAGGAAATTTTCCCTCTACTCTCATTAGATACATTCCCCACCCCCTCAACACCCCCCCCCTCCCCCAATTTGGAAATTAGGACTGAATAAGCGATCAACTTAACTACTTGCATTTAAGACTTGTATTATAAACTTTGCTCATTTCAAACAGAAACCACACCAACTAGTTTTATGTGCCTTTGCTCAGGTAAAATCAGCTTTCATTGGAGTTTATTAATAGCAGAAAGATTTGGTTTCAGCCTCATCTTTTACTACTGCATCACTGTTAAGGAAGTTGGATCATTACACTTCACTTACACTTTTCTATAGAAGTTTTTAAACTATGCTGCAACATTCAGGGATTTTAGTTTAACACAAAGCTTTTGTAAAATGTTAGAGAAATCAAAGACAAACAAATGCAAATAGATGGTATTGTACAGTAATGCTATAGGCTGTGAAAGCCATTAATTTGCAATTGTACTGGTTTACTGCCTGTTGAGGTCTACAAGAGCTCTCCAGAAGTATAAATTAAGCAAAACTACTGTCACTCAGACTTTCCAATTAAAGGAGAGCTCACTGCCACTCCTGTTTGTGCAGCTACAACAGAGAAACAATTAGTGAAAAGGTAAGATACAATTCCAGCCACTGGACACGTTCTAGTCTATTAAAACCTAGATATTGTAATAGCCTGTCCAAAAATCCATGCTTATCAAATGTACATTGTTCAAGCACGCCAGAGATCTATTAAAATCTGAGGACAAACCCAGTATATTCTGGAGTCTGTTTTATAGAGATCTGTTCTGAATCCAAGTTCTCCAAAGCTCTCCTTACTTTGTAAAGAATAAAGGAAAAAAAAGTCAGAAATACACAAGGAGATGCTGTTAAAATCTTCCACTGGTATCATAAATTACTATCTCAGGAATGTTGTGTATAGAAGGTATTCTTATATTTATTTCAATCTTCATGCAGACCTTCTTGCAAAATTCTAACTTTGGTTGATTTGTTTTGGTAAGTTTAGTGGCTTATCAAATCTTATCTGAGGTTAACTTTTCTAAAGGGATAGTGAAGGGATTAATAGAATCTCTTTATTTCCCCCTACAAAGAGCAAAGCTCTAAGGTAACAAGGACACCAGACCTGCATTAATTCCTGCTAGCCTTCAGCCCTGTATGACAGAGTCTGTAATCTTTTCTGGCCAAAACAAAGAAGAAAACAAACAAACAAACAAAGGTGTTTATCTGCAAAATGAAGACAACTGTATTTGCACTTTCTCAGGTATAAGTATACATGTATTACTCCATAACTTGAATGTTTTCAGCAAGTTGTCAATGCATGGCTTTTAACCATGAAGTGTTGAATACCATCAGGGGACTGCAACATGAGGCAGCTCTTCTATGAAGACAGGCTGAGAGCATTGGCATTGTTCAGCCTGGAGAACAGAAGGCTCCTGGGAGACCGTACAGCACCTTCCAGTCCCCAAAGAGGCCTAGGAGAAAACCAGAGAGGGACTTTTTACCTACCAGACAGGACAGTAGGGAATAGCTTTAAGCTGAAGGATGGTGAGTTTAGATTAGATATTAGGAAGAAATTCTTTACTGTGAGGGTGGTGAGACACTGGAACACGTTGCCTGGAGGAGTTGTGGATGCCCCATCCCTGGAAGTGTTCGAGGACAGCTTGGATGGGGCTCTGAGTAAAACCTGGTCTAGTGAAGGTGTCCCTGCTCATGGTAGGGAGGGTGGGGAACTGGATGAACCTAAAGCTCCTTTTCAATCTAAACCATTCTATGATTCTGTTTCCATTACCTACTATTCTAATAGTAGTCAGAAATATTGAAGAGGTTTTATAAGACATTTAAAACCAAACTTGTGGCATTAACAAATTTGGGACATTTTGCACTCATTAGGGTATCAAATGTCTTTTAAGATGGAAGAATACTTGGAATGTCACTGTTCCTCAGAGTGAGACAAATGTATAACAAAATTTGTTTTGAAACAGGGAGGAGGAAAGCCAAAGAAGCCCATAACTTGTCTACAGAGTATTAAGTAACTACACACTTCATACTTCATAAGGCAAGAAAGAAGCACTTAGAAATTTTACACATATACTAAGAAGTAATGCTCATACTTTCCATTAAATATTAGCATCAGATTACTGATATTAGCAACAAACAAAGTTTTATAGAAGAGAAATTAATATCTTTTGCAAGAGATAGAATGTTGCCATGTACACCCACCCTTTGCAGCTGGGAATATATAATGCTACATCCATTTCAATTAGATTGCTTTACACTAGAAAAACAAACAGCCAGGAAAGCAAGATAGAGCTTATTACCACACTCTCGAAATGCTACCAAAATATTGTAAAAGTGATTCTTTGTGCAAGCAAATTCCTAATTTTGGACAATCTTAGAACAAAAGAGGGACTCTAGTTTTCTTTAAATGTAAGTTTTAGTTGTTGTGAGAAAGTAGTATATGCTGAAATCTGTAAATCACATGGATTAACTTGGTTACCGTGCAATTAGCAACTAGGTTGCTAACTGCATACAGTTCATATTACTGTCCATGCCAGATTTTGTGAGTGTAGAGCCCATATATTTTGTTACATTTGCTGTGTACAGAAGCTCAAACCATCACAGTTTTCAGTTGCTTGTACTAGTATTACCACCAGTCAAGAGAATACCAGTTTTTTTTTTTTTTTTTTTATTCTAGAATACTCTAAGATACTTTTAAAGCCAAACTGTAAATACTGTTTCCTTCCCAAACTCTATTTGGAAACTTTGTTTTCCTGCAGATTTTCTAAGAAGAATGAATAGGTTGGAAAGCAGCATTTTTGAGAGCATTCCTTTTATTTCCTGAAGGAATGCCCAAATCAGATTGCTGGCCCCCATGTTGTTTTTTAAGAATAATGAAATACCAGACGTTGCTGAAAGTTGCTTCAGGGTCTCATACTGTAAACTTTTGTTCCTTTCAATTAACAGTAGTGCTGGACTTTCTGGGACAAAGTCAAAGGCCTTGTTTATGCCCGAAAGTTCATGCTATCACTGCCTCCACAGCGTTACGTTGTACAGTACGAAGACAAAGCTTCATTGGTCTTCAATGTAAGACACAACTTCAGCTCCACACACTTGTGCATATAACCACTTTTGGGTTTGTAAATCCGCAGGGGAGGCCTGTGGCTCCTGCCAGGACAGAGCCAGCCCCGGGGCCGCGCCGGGGCTCCCGGAGGTGTCGCCGGGCGGGCGGGCGGTGTCTGGCCCCGCAGCGGGGCCGCTCTGCGCCGCTGCCGAGGGCTGCGCGGAGCTGCTCTCCCTGCCCACATCCGTCCGCCCCACAACGGGGAGGGCTGCGCTACTCAGAGAGGCAGAGGAGGCTCGGTGGTGGAGGACGGGCAGCAGCCAGGGGGATCACGGGCAGCGGCTCCTGTCACGGCGGCGGCGGAGGCTCCCGGCGGGGCACAGGATCCCGCCCTGCCTGCACGGCCGGGAAGGGAGGGCGGGAGGCGGGTGGAGGAGACACCCCCCGCCTTTATCGCCCGCAACGCAGCGGGGTGTGCTGGCTCTCCGCGCCGCAGAGGAGCCTTGTCGGGGGACAGCGACTTGCAGGAGCCCCGCTTATCCTGCCCCAGCAGGCTCTGTCCCGCGGACCGTGCTCCGGGGCTGCAGCCCGGCCCCGCCTCCCCCGAGGTCGATTCCGTGCTCTCGGCTCTTCTCCCCGCCGCGACGCCCGACTTGGTTCAGCCCGGGGCAGGCGCTAGGAATAAGCCCTGTCCCCTTTGAGAGCCTCGGTTCAGGCTCGCCTCTTCCCTCCCACCGCCGCTGCGCACTGCTCGGTCCCGACTGGGCCCTCCCGCCGGGGCGGCTCCAGCGGCTTCGGCTCCAGCTCCACAAGTTCCTGCTGCCCGTGCCCCGGGAGCGCGCACGAGGCTGGCCTGGCCGTCGGGGGCGCCGGGCGGGAGCAGCGGGAGCGGCAGCGGGAGCGGTGCCGGGAGGGGCGGGAGGAGGGCTGTTGTGCAGGAGCCGCCGATGCCGCTGTGAGATGGCATCATTCTGCGCGGCGGCGGCGGCGGAGCGCGGCGCGGAGGGGTGAGGAGCCGCCGCGGCGGCGAGGAAGCGAAGAAGAAGCAGAGAAAGGTGGAAGGAAGGAGAAGGAGGCGGCAGCAGCTGTGAGGCTGCGAGCACGGTAAGGGCGCAAAACAGGCTGTGCCGCAGCCGCTCTGGTTTGCGGTCTGGCCCGGCTGCTGTCCTCGCTCCTCGCCGCCGCTCGGCCGTGGGCAGCCAGGGGGGTGGGCGCTGGACGGCTGCGATCTGCCCCTGTCACCGAGGGGCGGGGAGGAGGGGAATGGGCGTGGGGGCTAAAATGGCGAAGGGAGCCGTAGGGAGGTCTCGGTCTCTCCGGCACTTCCACTCGTCGCACCCCTAGGGCTGTGCTGGCGGGGGGTGGCGGCGGCTGTTGCTTCTCCCCTCCCGATGCCCCACATGGTGTTCGGAGAATTGCTGGTTTTCCCTGCCGTCTCCCACTGTGGCTCGCGTCTGGACAGGGCTGAGGGCCTCTGGGCCCGCACCTGGCGAGGGGAGGGAGAGTCGGGGCTGTGGTGAGCCTGTGTCTCTGTGGGGCGGGGGGACAGGGAGGGGGAGTGTGGCCGGTGTCCGATGTCAGCGAATAACCTTGTTTATTCCTGTCTACGGCCTTTGCGAGGGTGACTGGGGGCTGAGTCGTGACCTGTGTCAACGCTGAGTGGATTGCGAGAGGCTTTAGTGGCCAGGAGTCAGTGAGGCAGCTCCACGGCCGGCCCTGGCTCGCTCATGTGCGGGTGAAAGCAGAGGAGAAGGATATTGTCGCGTTTATGTTCACCTGCCTTTGGTGGAGCCGGGGAGGGAGGCGGTGAGGAGCCGTGTCCCCTCACGGTGCGCTGCTGTCGCCCCTCACGGTGCCAGGCGCAGGGGACACGGGGGGTGCTCGGTCAGCGCTCAGGTTTTGGGTGTCTGCTCTTCTCTCGGGGTCCCTGTGATGGGTGTTTGGCTGAGCAGACTGTGGGAATTGAAGACCTCAAAAGACCTGTTTGTGTCCTTTATCTTTGTTTATGTTGTTGCAAAATGTTACAACTCGTTGTGTTTATTTACTTGATTTTATTTGTAGCTGTCTTATTTTTGGAATGATACCAATTCTCATCCCAGTTTAACTAGGATGAGCTAGCTCTGCTTCCAGATCTATAAATGTTTAAACTGTACATCAAAGAGAGAAAAGGACTTAACACCATCTAATTATTTTAATGAGAGCTCTTCGATGTTTGGGTAAAACTGTAAAAAAAGGTATTCATATTTCAGTTGCGCTTTCAAAGGGCAGCTGTGTCTTATAAAAAGTAATCAGGATGCCGTGCATTGGAAAAAACTCAGGTTAGGCAGGTTTAATAGTACTGGTTTACTAGGAGATGCAATCACTGACTGCAGGTAGCTGGGTTATATATGGACATACCTCTGAAACACAGTATGATCTTCATTGTAATAAGTCTACTCTTAAAATTGGTATTCGGGTTTAATCTCTGCAGTATAGAAACTGCTAAAGGGACTGCTATTGGCTGTGGTAAAGCTTTACTAACCTGAACTGGTTGTATATTTTTAAAGAATTTTGTATACTGCCTTTTCTGAGTCCGTTTGGACAAGGTCTAAACTGAATAACAATTTCTGGTTGATTTAAATACTAATAAAGATTAATTCAATTTACTTATAGAAAAAATCTGAGAATTTTTCATCCTTTTAAGAAAAATTTTACAGCTGCAAAAACACAATTTACTTGGATTCATGACAAAGATTATTTCAAATGGGGCAAGTAGAAATACTTCTGGTTGATGCTGCTTGTGAACTTGTGGGTTTAGAATCCCTTTATCACCTCCTCAGTGTGGATTTTGAGCTATATTTTAAAGGTCTAGTCCTGTAAGTGCTTCTAGCTTGAGCAGCCTAGTACTATCCATGGACTTTCCCCAATGACACTGTAGAATAATTCCCTTAAACACAAAATTATACTTGAAAGCTTGAGAGCTTTTGGACTGATTTATTCTCTTGGTATGGGACACTTTGTTACCAAAAGAATATAGATTATTTTTGTTTGTAAAATAGTTTACATTTGTTGTTTAATTTCAGTGAAAAAAACATTGTAAGTCAGCCAGTGTGTTTTCACTAAAGGGTTTTCAATAAACTTTAAATAATCACTTTGCCTACAAGTGCTTCTTAAATCACAGGAATACTGATGGAGCTCAGAGCCAACCCCTTTTCACGAGTCTGTGGAACCTTTGGAAGGGGAAGTGTCTGCTAGTTTTACTGGTATTCATCTTTTTATCTTTCAGTATGAAGTTGGAAATTTTGATAAGTTGGAATTTCTCCCCACTTCCCTGTTGTTTTTCATGAAAGAATGTGTGTGGGGAAAGAGATTCCTTCTGGGTTTTGGACAGGAAGAATCAGGAGCAAGGATCTACAACAGGGAGTTGGTATCACATTCAGTTTCTTTGTACTTCCTATACCATTAAAGCATTAGACTTGAAAATTAAGGTGCCATGATCAAAATATCATGACCTAAGCCATGTCTGTTAATTGGAAATGGCTTCTCTTTACGCACTTAAGGTAAATACTTATTGCTAGCTTAAAAAAACCCTGCAATCTAAATCCTCCACAAAAACCCCCCAGTTCATTTTAGAATTGAGATGAAATAACAAAGTGAAGGCTAGGTGAAGTAATGAACGGAGTGATAAGCAAAATAAGTGCTTGCTGCAAGCTGTCTTTAAGTGATTCTTGTTAGTTACTTTTAGCTGTGGTAAAAAGACTCTTCCTGAAGACTGAAAAGGAGTGAAGCTACTGATAAAAATGTTCTCTCTCTTTTAGGCAGGCCTTGTACTGCACTTGCCTGCTTCTGCAGAGTGTAACATTCACCTGAATTAAAAAAAAAAAGAAAAAAACTCTTCTGGCTCTGCCAGAAAATCAGTTGCATGGTGACTCAAAGTCAGAAAAGCTGCTCCAGTGTGCCTGTAATGAAGTGTCTGAACTGGGGCAGGATTCCCCAGTTTCCATGGTAGTGTCATATTAGCAAAAATCCGGTTATTTTTCCTGTCCTTGCGAAACTTGTAAACCAGAACTGCTGAACTCTTCATTTGAGTTCTGAGTTGTGCAATATAGTGGCACTCTTCTATATTCTCAGGTCAGTGTCCCAGTGCAGGCAATAGGAGCTGGTTACATCCAGGTCCTTCTTTCCAAGTTTGCTGCCATTGCATCAGTAGGCCGCATTCTGTGTCGGTGTTCATTCAGATTTACTGTGGTGTGCTGGAGTTCTCCTGTGGTTACATAAAGTGGCTGGAGGTAAGGATCATTGGAAATACTGGAGGTGTCACCACTGTTTTCTTGAAGAAAAAGAATATAGTTGGAAAGAGAAACCTCTTCTACTTACCGGCAGGAGTTGGGAGTGTCCAGAAGAGGCATTCCAAAGGCTTGTGAAAAAGATGAAGTCTTAGAGTGGTGCACCCTCTTTCCCTGCCCTGGCCCTCTCCCCTGTAGAGCACTGACATGGCACAGTTTTTGCTAAAATGTGCTATGATACCTTTAAGAGAGAGTAAGAGGGAGTTTTTGTTTTTAGTTGCTTTTTGTAAGTGAAAAGCTCTAATTACTGCTGCTTGTGATATCTATTTGCTGTTTGGGGAGCTGCTGGTTTAATCAGAAGCGTATTTAAGTTTAGCTCTGTTTTCCAAGTGTAGTGTTGCTTTAGAGAGAAACACTGGAGATTCCAGGGAAGCTGTCAGAGTGGTTATAGGATGTCAGAATTGTTTACAGGGGAGCGTGCTAGGTTTGATTTTGTTTTGCTTTCATTGCTTTTTTTTTTTTTAATTTCTTAGCATTGCAGGGAAAGTATGTCAGGAAAACCTTTAGGTTTCTTTTACATAGAGATTTACTAATTATTGCACATACAGTAAGAAGTAATTAATCATTGAAGGTTTACATGACTGTACTGCTGTAGTTTTATAGCAGCCTATGTATGACAAAAAAATAATTCTATTTTGATTTGCTCTCCCCTCAGTCAGTGTTGGGGACTGTGTAAGTAAGTTGTTAATCTAATGTACAGTTTGGTAATTCAGTACTGTCAAAAAATCACTTTTAAAATCCTGTTAAAAGAGAGTATGGCTTTGGATTTAACTTACAAATTCTACCTAATTTCCAAGAGTCAGCTAAAATTTACTGAGCTGGTTGTGTTAGTTTATAATGGCTTTTGACTAAAATAAGGTCATCAATAAAATTGGAGTGAAGCATGTGTTTAACAAAGCAGATTATGTTCTTCAGTTTTTATTAACCACCATTTTTCTTTTCATTGGAGTATGTTAGATATGCTTTTGTTCAGCTTTAAGTGGCTAGCATCTGAGCATACTTAAATGTAACCAGTTCAAAACCTGAATACTTTTTTCTGAATAAAATTATCTGTTACACAGTAGGACAATCTCTTGATTTGTCTTATGTGTAAATAGCATTGAGAATGCAAATGCATATTAGTATCTGACCCTTCAAGTGGTTCAAACAGCATAGAATTACTCCCATCTACTTCGATTCCATTAGGATTTCAGGCTTATTTTGTAGGATATCGTCTTGAAGATAGAGGAAAGCAATTTAAAAACTGATGAGAAGAGGAAGTCAGATTCTAAAGATAAGCAGCAAAATAATTCTGGTTTATGCATTTAAGTGTCTTCACCTTGCAGCCTGAAGTGGGCAGAGGAGAGCTCTCATCTGTGCTTCTGTGAGCCTGGAGAGCAGTAAACAGGATACTCTGCACATATTTCTCATCACTGGGGTTTTTAACCCAGATCTTTTGGTATAAGATCTGAATGGAGCCGGAGATTAGCAGAAGAATCCTTGAAAAAAGGAAGCAACTAAAAACTTCTACCTGTTCCTCATATAGGTGGGTGAAAAATATGGGAGGACTTTGGATTTTATGTGCTATTTCAAGATCGCCAGAAATTCTCAGTATAAATCAAATCAAATGAGTTGTAGTTTTAGAATGGGCTAAAGTAAACAGGAAAGATAAAGTTGATAATCTGTAAAATTGCACAATATGCTTTGGCATCAAAACTGAAAAAATAACACATGTCCAGTTTTGAAACAGAGTGCTGTGATAGCTCTTGAAAAATTCAGAAAGACTTTTATTTTGTTTGT